ATAAACCAAGTCACCTTTGCATTAATAAAGAAATTTGCCATTTTCCTAATAAAGGGATTTTTGACATTTGAACCACTAACACAAAAGTTCGAAAAAAAGACTGAAATAACAGTTTTCTCTAAAATTTTATTGGGTAACTTAAACAATTAATAATCCGTATTTCTACCGCGAACACTAACAACACAAGAACATCGGTTTGGCATACTCAAAATGAGTTCATCCAAATCACGCTGTGGAATGGCCGCCCATGTTCGTTGCAACAACAAAAAAAGGTCTTCTTGCGACTGGATACCCTCCATATTCGGCAGAGCTCTTCTCTGTAGCATATCCCATGCATGCTCAATCGGGTTCAAGTCTGGCGACTGAGCAGGCCAGGGCAGGACATTGATGTTAGCTGCGGCGAGAGTCTGTCTTACAACTCTTGCGGTGTGCGGTCGTGCATTATCATGCATTAACTGAAATAAGGGACCGATTTGCACTTGTAGAGGAACGATGACGTCTGATACAATCGTCTCAGCATAAATTTGAGCGTTGAGGTTGCCTCTGATCCAAATCAACTCAGTTCTTCCGCCGATCCAAATACCCGCCCATACCATGATGGTTCCACCACTATAAGGATGGACTTCCTGGCAGGATTTTAATCGCTGTTGGCGTCCAGGGGTTCTCCAGTGTCGTATACGTCTTGTATCCTGTCTCATACCAAAACGAGACTCATCAGAAAAGCACACGAAACGCCATTGTTCTTCTGCCCAATTTCTGTGTTCAAGAGCCCATTGATATCGAATCCTACGATTGTGCATTGCTATAGGTGGTACCCGTAGCGGTCTTCGGGAATGAAGGTTCACTTCATGCAAGCGGTTTCTGACTGTTTGGTCGCTAATTAAGTTCCCTGAAGAGTGATGAAGCCTCACGGCTAACATCATGGCGGTTATTGTTGGAGCTCTTCGAGTTAAGATTTGAATGTATCGGTCTTGTCTCCGTGTGGTGCAGCGATACCGTCCTCCATGGCGCTCAGCCACGGTACCAGTGCATCGGTATCGTGTCCAAAGTCGACTGATAACACTCTGACTTGTATTCAGAGCTAAAGCCACAGTACGTTGCCGGGAACCAGCTTCTATCATTCCCACGGCTCTGAGCATTTCTTCCCTGCTTAAATGACGTCGCCGCTCCATAATAACGTTGGTTTTAATCAGTAGTAGGGAAACAGTAGCACTAATAATGTCTTCAATGCGTTGTATGTTTTTATAGGGAAAATATTGACAGCTGATTTTCATCTTTTACTCGAATTTGATTCACAGTTCCTGATTCAAATTATGAAATGCACCAAAAAGGATCCATATAAATTTATAAAATCATAAATTTATTACAAAGCCACATCTCAATCTCAAGAAATCCGCATAAAAATGCTTGATCCCTAGACACTTTTGATGTGTGTACATTAATTTCTTAAGATTGTAATTTTAATTTACATAAAAATATTTAAATTGCTAAATGTAAAGTAACTTATAAAATCAGAATTATCTTAAAACTTACTTACTTCAATAAATACAATTTATTAGAAATGTAATCATTTAAAAATATATAGTACTTTCCTTTAATCAAATCTAAAGAATTTTGAGTCGGTATTTTTCACTAGATTTAGCACCGACTCCAATATATTTTATGTTAACGTTTTATGTATTCAACCAAAGGATGATGGGCAATTTGGTATCCCCCTCCAACAGCAATATATGTAATGACATGGAAAAGGCCTTTTCAATGGGAACAATACTGACTATGACAACTTTTACCAATTCTTAGTCAATTCGGAGTTATCTTACCATGAATATGACGGACTTTGTATAAAAATAAAATGATATTTGTATTGTTTCTTCAGGCCATTTGAATTGCTAAGGAAACAATCACCACACGGTGTACATAAAGCAAGCGGTCGCTGCGAGGGGAGCTTCGCCTCGCCATAGACGCACCGGCGTCCCTCAGGGCTCGCCACTCTCGCCCATCTCTACTCGGTCTTTACGAACGACCTGCCCAAAACTCTTAAAGTCGATCTTGCGCTTTTTGCCGAGGACACCGGCCTCTATACCTCCGATAGACGTCTAGGAAGGAACAGTCTGTGATAGACTTCATTCATGCGCTACCACCCTTGGCGATTGGTTCCGTAGTTGGCGTATCGAGGTTAATCCGGAAAAAAGCGTCGCGATCCTCTTTAGCACGACACCATCTCCCACGCGGTCTCTGCCGAGCATCCAACTATTTGACCGGGTCATCCCCTGGGAGAACCGGGTCAAGTACTTGGGAGTCACGTTAGATAACCGATTGACGTTTGCACTTCATCTCAAGATAGTTCGTAATCGCGCAGCATTCATTCTCGGCAGGCTATTCCACCTCATAGGGAAGCGTAGTAAGATGTCACTTAGGCAGAAGTCGATAATTTACAAAACGTGCATCCGCCTTATCATGACCTACGCAAGTGTTTGCTACGCCCACGTACCTCCATCGCGTCTTAAACCACTACAAACGCTGCAAAATCGTGTGTTGCGTGATGCCACGGGTTGCCCGTGGTGGGTGCGCAACATCGATTTGCATCGCGATCTCAAATTAGATAAAGCCGCGCATCATCCGAACCCCCTAGTAGTCAAAGCCTCAAGCTATCATACGGCCGCCCTCCTGTTCTGTCCTCCAACCGTAGGTACCTCCGATTCCGTCGGCCTAGGCACGTTTTAGAGTACCCAGACGACGAAATCACCCGCGCCAACGCGCCTCCGATTCCTCCCACGCAGGTCACAAACACCAACACTACACAGCTAGCATACTTGCACACTAGCTAAGCATTAGGCTGACACCGCACCCGTAGGATAAGAGTGCAAAGACCCGGTCTACACCCGACACGCTATACCAGGTACAGGTACGTACCTATGCGTTTTCCCCCGCCCCCCATGACAACGGCTAACTAGAGCCGAGGTTCGAGTCTCAGAGACGCCCTCTAGTTGAGCCGACCCCCTCAGGTTCTAGAGGCGCCAGACGGAGAGGAGACTCCCCCCGTGGGGAGATGCCATCCGCCTTGAATACCACTAGAGGCCACGCCAATTCTTGGCTTGAGGTCCCCTTAGGATCGCGCCGTCCCCAAACCCGGTGACGCTGTAAAGGTCATCTGCGACCAACAGCATACACACTCAAAAGAAAAATATACCGCTGCGCCACTGCCGCTGCATCTCCCATTCGTTCGCTGATAGTGCCCGATACTAGTTAAAAAGGAGATACCTCCAACTTATTACACAATTATTTAGAGAGGAAACAGTTGAATAGTCGAAGGGTTGATTTTGTGAGAATAGAGGCAAATGAGGTACCAAGCTTTCCTCAAATAACTGAAAACAAATTATTTTACTGTCTCTGTACTGTCTTATAACAGGCATCAACCTGTAATAAAACAGCAACTACATTAAAAATCGTTAATGGCCTATAAATGTTTTGGTTTCTAATTTTGGTTGATTATTTCCCCTGAATATTAGAAATGCCTAAATACTTTCCTGCAAGTTTTAATTTTAGTATTTAAATAAGATCAAAATGAAATAAAAAATCTTCTATTAGGTATGAAAAAATCTACAAGCGTGATAAAAATAAAAAAACAATCAAATCGATCCACAGTTTACGAGAATATCCCTGAACAAACACAAAAAATATAAATATTGTTATGATTTTATTTATTTTTAAGCATTTAACTGCTAGATGTTTAAATCTAAAGAAAAGTTTACTAGAAAAAAAATTCACGCGGACCAAGTCCCGTCACGTGGTCCGCGTGGAATTTTTTTCTAGTAAACTTTTCTTTAGATTTAAATATAAATACTCTCAATTTTTTGTTCCAAGCCGGTTCAAAAAAGCATTGATTTGTTTTTGCAATGTTAAGTTTGGGACGAGTTTCTGTCCCCTTTGTCCTAAATATTATTATTTATTTATAACTGAATCTCATATAAATACTTAATCCTATTTATAAATTCATTTCGTATTTTTAAATATTTTGTTTCCACAATAGGAACATTATTCATATTGGGATTGAATTATTGTCAATTTTAATAAAGTTAGTAGCAATTTATTATTCATTAGCCTGCCCTGTCCCCGAATTTATTTGAGGTCATCGTAATTTCTTCCCCTCTTCTACCCCTTATTAGATGTCATTACCTTGATTATTACAGTGACAACTTCTAACATTTTTTTTATATTCATTGTGTGTTCAATTTGTTATACAGTATTATTATTATGGATTTCTTATCGGTTTCTGTTATTTAATTGTGGTTTACATAATTTAGGTTTACTTCCGCAGCACGAGCTTTACTGAAACATTTTAAATAGAATGTGCCATTTTATTTCCTGGTCGTTGAAATGGTTTTTTTTAATTGTATTACTATTAGAATGGGTTAGGAAATAATTCTGGTATTGTATCGTATTAAGTCCAAGTCTTAGAGTATCTACTCTAATGGTAGGTATGCTTCTTCAGTACCTACTACTTTGCTATCAGGAAAAACTATTTTATAACATACCTAATGATGGTAATTTTATTAATGGCTAAAAGCCATTTCAACATTAATGCCAACATTTTTTAACAAAAATGCTTTATAAATATTGTAATCATAATTTAATTTATTTGCCAAAATACAGTTCACAAGTTGATACATTTTATAGAAATACATGTATTCTACCTGCAAGCAGGTGTGTAAATATTGCTATCAGCTATTTTGTCATGTCTATGCAGGGTAATGTTGCAGAGTTATAAATATATTGCTGCTTTTATTTACTATTTTACATGTGTGTGAAATATTTTTCATTTCACTATATTTCAAACAAATCCGTGTTGTTGGTTTTTTTGTATGGATGGTTGAACAGGAATGAGATTGTAGTGTTAAGGCAGACTGATTTAATAAGTTTTTTTAATTAATCACAATAAATACAATATTGTTTTATCTATTTACACATTTATTTTTTTAAGAATCTTTTTACATCGATGTTCATATTTCTTCACCCAAATCAGGAATTCCTTTGAGGCCTCTGAAAATAATTAAAAATATATTTAATTACCTCATTTGTGATAAATTTCCGAAAATATACGACTAACTATTCGATAAATTTCTGCAAGAGACACTCACTATAGGTAAATTAGGCAATTTTTTTTCTTGTGTTCATTATTTTAAAGATAACGTCTTTATGAAAGTTTTTTTTGGAAATGCACTAGACACAGACGGAAATCGGAATTATGTTTTTGTATTGAAATCTGAAGTTGTAGTTCCACACACATTTAATATCAGATGCTGTTATATATTTTTTTTAAAGGGTTTAACTGCTAATCGTTTAAATCTGAAGAAAATTTTACTACAAAATATTCCACGCGGACCAGGCAGCAGACGGGACTCGAACCAGCACCCTTCGTTATCCGGGCCGATGTCTTGACCATTATGGGCCGGGACCGGGGCCCTAATGTCGGTGTCGAAACTTTCTCAGCAGTTAAATGCTTAAAATAAAAATAAAACTTGTAAAGGTATTTTTTTGATTTTGTGGGTTACCTACAATGCGAAGAGATGGTCTCACTGTCTTGCAGCATAAGAAACGCTCGGACAGCGGAAGGTAAGGGATCGAGTCCCGTCGGCTGCCTAGTCCACGTGGATTTTTTTCTAGTAAAATTTTCTTTAGATCAGATGGTGTATCAATTTCAGCTTCCGCCCGCGACTGCGTCATACTTATAGTTAGTTTTTTGAGAACCCTTCCATAGGAACGTAACAAACATCCATGATAAAAAGTATCATATTCTCAAACCAGGTAATAAACTATAAGTGTGTCAAATTTCATCCAAATCAGTGAAGCAGTTTTGGTGTAATTGAGCAAACATACAAATTTTAAATTATATTAGGATTGGAAAGTTTACATTGGTGCCAACGATATTAAATACCCTAGATACACCACGTGCGTTCAAAATGTGTCCCGATCAAGAAGTGCTTGAACATTACTCAAGCACTTCCTGGTAAACAGTCACGCGAGGACCGTTGAAAAGCCAAGATGCCGCAGAGCTGCGTGAAAAAATGCAAACTAAATACTTATAATAGTTATCCTCGCGGCCCGTACCTGCTATATTGCTAACAGCGCATTCGGAATTGCGTGTAGAGTCAAAGCAATAAGGTCTATATTCATCCGCATATAGCTATAAGTCGTAAAATTTTAAGAGCTTGCATTTCGAACTGTCATAACTCTTCGACACATGCGATTTAATTAAAACCTTATACGGTATGCATTTAAGGTGACTTTCAGAGTTTAAATAATGCCTTATATTGTTTTCGCGGTCATCTAACGGAGCTCCGTGGATCGTCCAATGTACCTTTTGGACAGGTTTCTGCCACGATTTTGTTCGTGATGTTGTATCTAGGGTATTTAATATCGTTGATTGTTGCTTCTAGTCCTCAGAGTGACGTACTTAGTACACTCGTTGGGCATGATACACTTAGTGCTCGAATACGCTTAATCCGATATCGGCCGTTTTGGCATCACAGGTCAAACACGGCCGACCAAATCAAACGTAAAGAGAGTGCGTACACTTCTAGCACCGCCATCGTCCGATGACGCCCGCCCACCTAAATTCATACATGTTGACGTTTGATCTAATCGTTCAATGTCGACCGAGCTTAGTTCGGCTGATTACGGATTCAGTGTACCTGAGCCCTTTTGCGTCCGTTCGTCGCGGACATAGGGCGTGGCGTAGATGTGGCCCGGTTCGCAGAACGAATTGGCAGCCGTTCTTTTATGATTAAGTAATATATATACATCCAAATCAAAAGTTTTACAAAGTGACGTACTTAGTACACTCGTCGGGCATAACGCACTTGTGCGTTCGGTCGTCACGAACATAGGGCGTGACACAGATGCAACCCGGCTCGCAGAATGGGTAACAGGGGCGCAGCCGCTCGCGGGGGTTGTCGCATGTGACAGACGCACAGCCGGAGAAACACGACTCGTATCTATAGAGGAATAAGGCTACACTACACTGATCGCTAATCTTTGCATTTCTACTGCATTGTCACACAACATCAGGAAATGTGAAGTCAATTCTCCAGGTCAATTGGTTAAAAAATACTAATTTCTTCTCGAATTTACAAAAATTACAAAAGTTTGTACAAACAAACTTTTGTAACTTCTGGTCATTCTTGGTTCAATCCAAAATAAATAGGTAATTCTGTATTCACCTTTCATGCGGCCGGTCGCAATTCAATGTAACAGCAGATTTTTTATCATCGCTGAAAGAAAATAAATACATTTAAGCAAAATCAAAAATTCATATTTCTACGTCTGAAATAAAAGAGGCGAATATATTTACAGATAAGATGAAGTATGTGATCCCGATTCTGCACTCTTTATCCCTGGCAGTTTTTCAAGATCGTCGTAGCGTTTTCTGTAATTTGCAGTGTCTGCTTCTCGATGTCTTTCGATACCACCGAATGCATTAGACTCCGGCTCGTCATAATATCTCGTAGAATCATAGTCGTTTCTCTTTCTGGTGTCATATTCCTTATGATCTTGTTCACTAGGGCCTAATAACGCCTTTTTCCTCCAGTTTCTCCTGTCGTCGATAAGTGAATGTCTTTTGTTTCCATCCATATCGTCGTATTCATAATTGTTCGAACTCGTTGCCAATGCAACGATGTTATCTGCAATATCAATTCGTCCGTTGTGATCCATAGTTTGATTAAAAACACCTCTAATGTTTATATACATACCAAGACACTTACAAAGTAGTAGGGCAAGTAATAAATATTTACGCATATTATTACAGTTCCGTTTTGAAATGACCGCACTTACCATTCTATTTCACTTTATGATCATTATCAGTTGTATGTGGTGGCGTTGTTTTTAAAAGACTGTACGTTTTATTTCTTAACACCGAATGAGTTAAGGATGTTTGTAGATTGAAAGTTTATTTGAAGCGGATTTTTTTACTTTTTAAATAACACAGTACTTACAGCTTCAATTGATAGTTTTTAGGGTTCCCTACCCTAAGGGTGACAAAGAAACGGCCAGACCGCCCGTTCTTATGTTAGCGGGTTTATGAAATGTAATAGGGAGATTAGACATAATTGATATTTTCACAGAATATGTATCTCTTATTTGTTATCGTTATTACAACAATTTATAACTTTTATTTTTTAAATTTGTTTCAACTACAAAATCTTTGAACTCCTCCCCCATTGCTGCTGAATCAATATTAAAAGAAAACATAAAACAATGTACTATTCAACTTAAATTTAAATATGTTAATTGTAAAGATGTAATAAAATCTTTCAACCAATTAAATAAAAACAAATCCGCGGATCTGTGGGATAACTCCGTATATGTTTCTGGATCAGTAATTGAGACAATAGCTCCTATTCTGGCTAGCATTTTTAATCAATGTGTTGAGTGTGGTGTTTTTCCTGATCTAATGAAATACAGTGAAATAACTCCATTACATAAATTGGGTAGCACATCTGACCCCACAAACTTTCGACTTAAGAATATCCGACTGTTTAAGAATATTTGAATGACAAAACGGCGTGGTCGTGATTTGTAATTGTTTCCTACAGATACCTTAATTTTAAGTAAATGTAATAATAATAAATAAAAATAATGCTCTCTTAAAAGTCTCTTGGGTGGTGTCGTGAGAGGCGGGTCGTTACATTCCCTAAAATATGGTTGAGTGAAGTGATGGCTGGTTCATGCGTCATGCTCGTGAGCGGGTGCTGCCAGCGGAGATCAGTTTGCCCTAACTTCGTTGATATTGAAGATGTTAATGTTTAGTTACACTTAATATAAATAACACTATTTGTATTTATACTGTATGACACAGCAATCAAAATGCAGGTAAACAATTAATGATATATTGAATTATGTAATGAAAGGTGACTTCATGAATCATCTCTGAAGGTATTTTTCAACTTGCAACTCTATAAATAATAAAACAGGGAGAAACATCGAAAGAAACAGCATCTGCTTCAGTTTCTTGCCGGTTCTTCTCTGTACAAGGTTTCCCGTCGTAGATTTATGAACCGATACCGTCGCTTTTTTTTATAGTCTGGTAGGCAAATGACTCTACCCCACCTGATGTTAAGTTGTGAGAAAGTCCAAAGATAGGTGGTACAGCAGTTATAAACTGCTGTACCACAAAACTTCCCCACCTTGCCGGCCTGCAAAAAAATAAATCAGCTTTCTCTTGCGGCTTATGAGCTAGTGACCCCATCTGGATATCGCAGAGGTGGCAGCGAGAGCTGGCAGAAGTTGTGCTGCCCGGCCTTAGCCAAACGCCAAAAACAACGAGAGCTGAGATCCCTGCATGGTCAGTTTTGGCGGAGCCCAACCTCAAACCAGTGGGAGTTAAAGTCCCCCAAAAACACCAGTTCTGCGTTGAGAAATTGCGCCTGGGCATCATCTGCTGCCCTACTAAGATGGTCAAACAGTCGAGTTGTCTCAGCGTCGCCGGTGTGGAATTTGTAGAGGCACACTTTCTGGTTCTTTGGTCAAAGTCTACGTGTACCGCCAACATGGAGAAGGAGGGGTCTTCCAGGCAGCTCAAACGGCGACAACAAATATCTAGACATTCATGAGTACTTGTAGCAGCCTAAACTGAATAAATGATTTTGACTATGATTATTATAAAAAATTGTATTGTTGTTTCGACTTTGCTCAATTCAAACTATCGGTATTCGCACTTAACCTTAGAGAGCAAAAAATATTATTAAGAAGAAACTATAATGAATATTTATGCATTTTATAATAGACCAATCGTAAATAACATTTAGAGGGTGTTGTAAGACTATACACAGGTTATAATTTCCTAGCGCTTAATTTTTTTGTCACCACACAGCTAGGGTATAGTCTTTCCCATAGAAAGTGGGGTTTCCCTATGATTGTAATTAGCAGAATAGGCCCTGACCTATCATGAGGCCCAGCCAGTGCATGCAATTAGAATACAATTTTGAATAAAATTTTTAAATCCCATCGAGGATTCCACGGCGAAAAGTGAGTTTGTTCTTACATTCTAGCACGACAGTACGGATTGGTGGGTGTTAACGTCTGCAGAATATATATCTTCAAGAAGGTGTTCAAGATAATGAATTTTCGGTCACTCTTTCTATGTCAGGCCATTGTATAAGTTATTTAATGTTTCTCTTCCAATTATAGAACTTTAATTGGCAAACTTTTCAACAAGTGTGTCTTTTGCTATAATATATTAAACAGGTTTAAGGAAAAATTTAATGATTGAGGATAGCTACTATTGATAATACACATATAAAAAATGGATTTTATTATTAAAACATTTACAGATATTTTAGTCTAAATTATAACTATGACATTTCCAAAAAAGTATTATAGAAACTTTGGAACTATTATAAAGAAACAATATGAATCTAGTAACAAAATAATTTATTTTTGTATTAAGTTTTTATGCTGATATTTTTTTAACTAAAGAAGTTATTTATAGTTCGCCTAGTTCTTAGTACAATTTTATTCAGATATAAAAAAATACTTCTACCTAAAAAACAAACGTTTCACATTCTTTTGGAAGCAGATCTGTATGAGCCTATTTCATTGGCTAACAATTTCCTGGGTTGTAAGGCTTTGATGGGCGGCGGTGCGATCACTATGTTGAAGTAATTGCCCATCCTGGATATTTCGGAGGGTCTCTTGAAGTCCTCCACTCGGTTAATAGGTGGTTCATTCTCCATGTATTCTATTTCCGGATCTTCTCGCTTGTTGTGCGCTCGGGCCGACCTGCCGGCATATTTTAGCGGCATAGGCTTTTCGGGCTTTTTATTAGGAACCGGTATACCCATTTGTGTTCTGAAATAGACATTAACATGAACATAAACCCCCTTATAAAATGATAAGAGATAAATATTATATAATAAATTAGCATTAATATGAATATGGGCATTTATTTTACAAACAAAAAAGGCTTTATCTATTTCTCTAGTATCCAATAACACAAGTGTATGGTGTGAGTGATCGAAATGATTACTTATGTTTTTTTTGAGATGTCAGCGTCTGTCTGGGGAAGCAACTTCCACCTTACAGAAAACCACAGTAAAATAACACTAATTTTTGGTGGTGTTGTATTTCTGCTAGGTGAGTAGGGTTCTGGGGCTCCGCGGGGAAGGGGATTGAGTTCAGGCCGGCAAGGTGAGGAAGGCTGTAGCGGCGCATCTCTGCCGCTTCTTCTATCTTCGCGATTGAACTCCACTTACACATAACATTAGATAGGATGGAATAATTTGTTGCGCCCATATACAAAAAAAATGTATTTACGGTGGGTAATCCTGCGGTGGGACCCACTGGTGGGTCCTGTCGTCGCGCACGTATGGCTCCTCGCAGACGCAGCTCGCCTCGCAATAGGGGTGGTAGGGCCGCAGATGGTTGCACGGGTTGTCACACGATACACGATACCTCAGTCCAAATTCCTCGTACGGCTAGTAGCACGCTGGTGTTGGCACAAAAAAATGATGTGAGGGTGTATGTACTAACGGTGAGCAATCTTGCGGCAACACGCACTGGTGAGTCCTGTCGTCGCGCACGTACGGCTCCTCGCAGACGCAGCCCGCCTCGCAGTAGGGGTAGCAGGGCCGCAGGTGGTTGCGCGGGTTGTCACACGAAACCTCTGCGCAACCGCCGAAACATGGCTCGAACACCTCATTCGGCCAGTAGCACGCTGGAGTTGACATAAAAATACATAATTATAAAAGGTAAAGATTGGACTAAGTGACATTCAAATGAAATTTAAAACTTTTAAAAGAGGAAAAGAAAGTAATACTATGTTATTAAAAGAAGCAATAGAGTTTAGATAAGAGTTTTTACTCTCTGCGTGGAAAAGTTTGCAACTAGCTTGTTTCATGTTTCCTGTCGCTCCCGACCCAAGTCGAACTGGCAAATATTAAGCGTGGGCATCAAAAATCGCTAAAACTAACTTTTTCTCCACCCATTTATTATAGCAAAAAGCTTCGAACAGGCTATCGATTATGTTGAATGTGGACGCTAAGTAGCGACGGGTTCTAAATCTAGTTGCGGACAGCATAGTTTCCCAATTCTTTTCTTGAAATTTCCACAGGTCCGTTATATAGCTCCCAGAGGAGCGCTAGCCAGACTTACACTACTTCCAGGAAAGTTATACCTTAAGCCCGCAAGAGATAGAATCGTCTCGGGAGAATTCACGTTAACACGCTTTAAAAACATTAGTTCCTCCACTTACACTTCATTATTTTCTCTTCGTCTCTGCACAATACAAATAACAAGCAACAGTTCAGAACGTAAACGCATATTGTAGATACTTTCATGGTTACACTTCCAACTCGCCTAATCGCGTTTCGACGACTGAATGAAAAACTTTCGATTATGTGCTTTGTTTTGGTGCGTACAAAGTTGATTTTTCGATTTGTAGAAGTTCAGTACATTATGATTAATATGCCGTTAGGATAAGGTCGTCAATTGTACGTGATAAAGGTGCTCTGTTTAGTAAAGACGCCGAGAGGCCGCTAAGCCGCGTTTGATTGAATTATTGCTCGCTGTAATTTCGTATGAGGCTTTTAGGTCACGTTCCATGATATTGTGGATATTATGATACATTTTCGTAGACAAATCCCTCTGTGATAATTTTGTTCAGGTACGCGACAGTGGGGATCTATGCTGTAATTTATAATTGTCGTGTAGTTTAATTAAACGTATAATTTATACCATTAACAATGTTCGATATTCAAAACCCAACAATATTAATTACTGATACTTACTGTAAAGTGATTGTTGAGTTCGAAAGATCGGAAAAATTAACTTTGATTAGGCGTGGGTAAGATTATTTTACATTTACTGAATTTCTCGATGTTGGTATTTTTTATTCTTAAAAATTTAGTAAAAGAACACAATTTAGATTTCATGGAATGACAAATTATTTTATCTAGGAAAGGCTGTACTAAAGTTGCCCTACTAAAATATTTTTTTGTTTTGAAAAAAAATTAAATTATGATTTTTGCTTTTTGAATAATCTTAAATAGGTAGAATAATTTTTAATACCCTATCAAGTCGTGTAGAGCACGAGATTTGTGATTTTTTGACAGGATTTATATCATGGGTGTAGATAAAGTATTATATGCAACTGTTTATAATTATATAATACCCATGTGATACTACACACATCAAAAGTGTCTAGGGATCAAGCATTTTTATGCGGATTTCTTGAGATTGAGATGTGGCTTTGTAATAAATTTATGATTTTATAAATTTATATGGATCCTTTTTGGTGCATTTCATAATTTGAATCAGGAACTGTGAATCAAATTCGAGTAAAAGATGAAAATCAGCTGTCAATATTTTCCCTATAAAAACATACAACGCATTGAAGACATTATTAGTGCTACTGTTTCCCTACTACTGATTAAAACCAACGTTATTATGGAGCGGCGACGTCATTTAAGCAGGGAAGAAATGCTCAGAGCCGTGGGAATGATAGAAGCTGGTTCCCGGCAACGTACTGTGGCTTTAGCTCTGAATACAAGTCAGAGTGTTATCAGTCGACTTTGGACACGATACCGAAGCACTGGTACCGTGGCTGAGCGCCATGGAGGACGGTATCGCTGCACCACACGGAGACAAGACCGATACATTCAAATCTTAACTCGAAGAGCTCCAACAATAACCGCCATGATGTTAGCCGTGAGGCTTCATCACTCTTCAGGGAACTTAATTAGCGACCAAACAGTCAGAAACCGCTTGCATGAAGTGAACCTTCATTCCCGAAGACCGCTACGGGTACCACCTATAGCAATGCACAATCGTAGGATTCGATATCAATGGGCTCTTGAACACAGAAATTGGGCAGAAGAACAATGGCGTTTCGTGTGCTTTTCTGATGAGTCTCGTTTTGGTATGAGACCGGATACAAGACGTATACGACACTGGAGAACCCCTGGACGCCAACAGCGATTAAAATCCTGCCAGGAAGTCCATCCTTATAGTGGTGGAACCATCATGGTATGGGCGGGTATTTGGATCGGCGGAAGAACTGAGCTGATTTGGATCAGAGGCAACCTCAACGCTCAAATTTATGCTGAGACGATTGTATCAGACGTCATCGTTCCTCTACAAGTGCAAATCGGTCCCTTATTTCAGTTAATGCATGATAATGCACGACCGCACACCGCAAGAGTTGTAAGACGGACTCTCGCCGCAGCTAACATCAATGTCCTGCCCTGGCCTGCTCAGTCGCCAGACTTGAACCCGATTGAGCATGCATGGGATATGCTACAGAGAAGAGCTCTGCCGAATATGGAGGGTATCCAGTCGCAAGAAGACCTTTTTTTGTTGTTGCAACGAACATGGGCGGCCATTCCACAGCGTGATTTGGATGAACTCATTTTGAGTATGCCAAACCGATGTTCTTGTGTTGTTAGTGTTCGCGGTAGAAATACGGATTATTAATTGTTTAAGTTACCCAATAAAATTTTAGAGAAAACTGTTATTTCAGTCTTTTTTTCGAACTTTTGTGTTAGTGGTTCAAATGTCAAAAATCCCTTTATTAGGAAAATGGCAAATTTCTTTATTAATGCAAAGGTGACTTGGTTTATCGTTACTGTGACAAACGATAACACTTTATTTGATGAATCCTTAAAGAAAATTTTAATTAATATCAATCAGGAGAAAAGTTATTGCAAAAATATATGTTGATCCCTAGACACTTTTGATGTGTGTATTATCACCCATCAAACAAACTATTAAAAACCACATTCGTGTTTTAATACCCCTTATGATATGTACAATAGTTGCATAAATAACTATAATCTGATTATATTGCAAAATTAGAACACACTATATAGTGACCAGTGCTTCGGAAGCCACGTTAAGCCGTTGGTCCCGGCTGCATCTGCAGTTGTTAGCACCCGCCAGCCGCACTGGGCCCGCGTGGTGGGTCATGGCTCGATCTCTCTATTCCATCCATTCTTCGGCAGTGGGGACATTAATAGGTTGATGATGATGATATATTAACCAGCTTTCGCATCGCTCCAATTTAGACTATAGTATCAGACATATAAACCTTTACTGCAAAATTATCTAACTAAAGGTGAAAACCGGATAAAAACCTTTGCGTACAAAAAAAAATTTGAGATCATCGCAAAACATACGTACATAAGTGCTGAGACAGGTTATTTTATTATGTAAGGTTAATAATTATATTTTCTTTCCCCCTTGGATGTTGTTAATTACGATGAACTACACGAAAATTACAGTTGGATGTGCCGAGTGTTGTGTAATAAACATCCACCCTTCAGGGAGGCTTTCGATCACGGGGCTTGTCATGTAGTAGTTGTATTCTGTTTACTCAGAATTTTACCTCACTCACTCACTGTGTTTGAGAATACGGCAAAACACAAAGAAAAATGGTTTTAAGAATCATTTATTTTAACAAAGTAGAGGAGAATCAGTTAAAATGTAATTTACAAAGTAGAGGTTCAAAGTTTAGTTTATGTTGGTTGACATGTAAGTATATTCTTATCTTTCTTTTCGACGACCTCCGTGGCCGAGTGGTTTCATTGTGTCGCCGACTCGAGAAGGCCCGGGTTCGAATCCCGATGGGGGCAGATGTTTGTGTGATAAATACTATGTATTTCTATATAAATATACTTAAATATGTACAGTATATGTATTCTATCCGTTACCCTAGTATCCCATAACACAAGCCTTACAATGCTTACTTTGGGGCTAGGCTAATTGGTGTGAGCGTTGGAAATATTATTAGAGTATCCCATAACACAAGCCTTACAGTGCTTACTTTGGGGCTAGGCTAATTGGTGTGAATGTTGGAAATATTATTATTATGTTGAAAGAGTCTACTGATGTCGAAGTGATGCTTGAACGGCAGCTGGTTTGATTTCGTTCTGATAATTACACTTTACTGTCTGGGATTTAATTTTTGCTTTAAGTGAAACTATTTACTACTTTATTATACGTAGGTACTTGTTTTTGCTAATTATACATGTAACATAACAATATAGATACACTCCGCTCTCGACAGATAAATACAAAACCTACTTATCCCATTTCTTCATTATAGTTCACTTTATTTCACAGTTATTTTGTACTACGTATAAAGATATGTGTAAATTATGTAAATATTCAAATAATTTCTATGTTCGTTAAGAAAATTTTACGAAACTACTACCAAAACTCTCGGCTCTGATATACGACACGGTATGGTTTCTAACTAAGATTTTAAACCTCACCTTGTGCCCACTTGACTTTCAGTTGCGTTATGATATAGTGGCGTTGCCGTTAACAAGCAATTTTATGTTGCTGCAGGGAAATTGAGGCATTTCACATAAACGGCACCGGATCCGCCTGCGAAAAATGGCTTTCCCGATAAAATATGATTGCGTACGATCTTTTTTTATTACAAGGCGCAACCCTCCAGCCGGCATCGTCTGGATTTGGGAAAGAGAAACAAACTGTTACTATCGAAGTATCCAATTTGCTTGTTGTGTGCGTCAAGTGTTTTTGTTACACGCCGACCTACGGGATGTAGTTCGCCAACGAAGTGGAGTTTCGGAAAAACCTTTTTGCAATGCGACGTCAAGGAAACAGGTTAGTCTCAATAATACCTATGTCAAACATAATATGGCTCACGAGAAATGTCAAGTGATTTTATTATGTTTCTATTTTAAGAATTATACTGCTTGTTTTATTAATCTACAGAAAAGTTTACCAGGAATAAATCCTCTCGGCCTATAGCATAGCATAGTAGCATCCGCACCGAATTTTATATTAAAATTCAAAATAGAACTTGTGGCTTACTACAAAGGGTAGACCAAAATGGGTGTTTCGATGAACACTATAATAATATACCATTTATTTTCTCCTCACAAAAGGAGTAACAGTACAAAAGGTAATCAATACAAATACATAAACCTATATTTGGGTGATTCCTGGGACCCATGATTTTAAGGGTCACATTGAAATATTAACTGGAGTAATAGACCAACTTGAATAAAATACCATTCCAAACTTTACTTAACTATTGTAGAGTTGACACCCATTGATAAAAAATAATATTTAATTAAAGAAATTGGTTAAATATCCATTTCAAACTGAAAAACGCGGTAATTTCACTACATTTTTACGTGTCACACGCGCGACTCTTGCTATGTTATAGTGAATATGTTTTTTTACGCTCAAGGTTATACATGAATATATACTTTTTTAAATACATAAAGAGTTATTCTATTAGATCATGAATAAACTGTTCTAAAATAATCAAAGTCTAGTACATAGATGAATGATTGGTCTAGTATACCTTTATTCGTTCAAATTCGG